CCATCTTGGCCCGCCTCGGCGCGGGGTGCGGGCGCCGCCGTGAGGCCGGAGGCGGCCGCGGGGTCTCGCCGCGGGGGTTGGGTCCTCGGTGGGGCCGCGGCGGCCAACGCGCTCCAGCAGCTTTGCTAAGGTGCCAAGAATTTAAAGCTCCTGTAAAACCTAGTCCTTGGGAAGGGCGCGACGCTTATCCACCCATCCGAGAGCCCTGTGTGAACACCCGCGAGGCTCTGTCAGCAAAACTTACCCCTTTGAGCTGGATTCGTATGCTTGGTTTCTAAAAAGTTAATCCATTTTCTCACAAAGTGTGCTTGGGTATAGTGTCCACATTGCAATTAGGAATCATCAGTGCCTCTCCTGGGAGTTGAGTACCTAAAACATGAAGCACAGGATTTATGAAAGGGGTTTTACTAAATGAACCAAAGAACAAATAAAGAAAGGGGGAAGGGCAGCTTGTTCATTCTCCACATTAATATTTACACATTTATACCCGCTCCTGAGTTTGGGATAGTTCTGCTGATGCACTCAGTGGTGTTCAGCTCAAGGCTGAGGGAGGGGGTATAAGGTACATAAATCTGTTAGGTTTCTGTATGCTTATCTCTTACATAAGTAAGAATAAAATCTCAACTATCCTTGAATGACCTTTCTGCTGAATTTCTAGCACTGCATTAAAACTTTTTTTCTCTGCTTGTGACTAATAGCTAAAAGCAAAGGAGGGGAAAGCATTTCTAAATCTGTGAAAGCCTGAGCGACAGTGTTGTACAGGACTACAGTTGAATTTGTATTCCTTCAGATTTTACTTGGACAATGTCTTCTTAGGAGAAAATTAAGAAATATTCAAAGCAGTTTGCTTATCCTCCTTTGTCTTCCTTCCTATCCTAGTGTTCATGAAGCATCTACTTCATTAAAACACAGGAGGCTCCTCCAAAACAAGCATGTTTATATCCCACCAAAAGCAGCCAATGCCTCAACAGCCACAAAACCAAGCAAATGAAAACTGGGTGACCTGAGGGACTAGTTAAAGGCTTCCACTTCCATGTATTCACACATTACAGAATCGTAATTGTTTACAGTGTCACTTGTTTGAAATGCCATAGGGAAAGTAGTGATAAAACCTAAGCCTTTTGCTATTGAGTTACATTCTCTTTGCTTTCAAATCCCTTTTTCTGATCAAAAGACCCCTCTGTATATAAGGGAGGGCCAAGTTCAGCCCCAAATCCCAGGCGTGAAGAGAATGGCAGAATCCGTGTCACCACTGACGGACAGCATAAGTACAAAGCCTGAGAGAGGCGAGTTCAGAGGTGCTGTGTTGCAGATCACTTCAGTTTGCCAGCCAAGAGATACTGGCACAACAAAATCTAAAACCATGTGAAAGTCACCTTGTTTTCAGCTGTCACCACTAAATAGCAAAATGGTTCTTTCTTCACCAACCAGAGAACAGCAACAAAGCTGCTTAGGTTGTAGCTGGAAACAATAAGGAAATGCTTGGAGTCAGATTCACCCTGATGGGAATTTCTTGAAACATACAGGCTTGCACCACTTAGAAATTGAGGATGTGACACCATCATGGAAGAATATGATCTTTCATCTTCTTTTTTTTTTTTTTTTTTTTTTTTTTTTTTTTCCTATTAAATATTTTGGCTCTAGTTTTCCTGTGATTTGGGTTTGACTAAATCTTTTTGGTTAAAAAAAAAAAAAGAGTGCAACTGCTAAATCAAAAGTGCAAACCCAGTCACGTTACCACTTTGTTAGGTAGGTACTGCAGCCAAATGTTTGCAGCGACTACAGACTAGCTGTCACAGGCCAGGATTTTGCTAAACCCTGTTGATTTGAGTAAAAGAAGCTAAGATGACTGTTGTGGAAAGTGGATTTCGAGATTTGGCATCACTGGTGATGTTCAGTGACCTGCCCAGCTACCACCAGAATCCTTGATCCTGTCTCTCCTCCCTGTGCAGGGAGTGCCTGTCCCAGCTGTTGTCCCTCATGGAAATGAGGGGCCAAAACCCCTGCAGGTGCAGGAGCAGCACAAAGGATGAATATGAGCTACTGACTTCTGGTTACTGTGCACAGCTGTGAAATTAAGTGATTTGTTGATTATCTGTTGCATTAGCAGCAGGAGAGAGATAACAGGTGGAATAATTTAGCTTTAACATAAAATAAAAAGACAGATATGATCTTAAAAAAGTGTTAGCCACAGAGTGGATTTGAAAATACGGGATACGAATTTCCATACTGGCAGAAGCTAATAGTTTCCTACCCAATAGTGTTGATACATATGCTTGTGAATTATGTCACTTATTTCCATAACAGAAACATGCTTTGATGCAGCAGGCAGTCCCCTTGCAGTTTGTCATTGTGGCTTTAAGACTCCTTGCCAGCAGCAAAGCAGCTGTCAGACAGAAGTTGTGTTGTGCCTAAACAAAACAATCTAAATATGAGAAGTTCAAAGGGGCTTTTTCAAATTATTCCACCCAGGGCTTTGTTCCCCATCTTCTCTCCCCTTCAGCAAATATGGTTCCAGGATCAGCACTAAGTGTCTATATGTTGCTAATGAGTGCCCTAGTTAGCTCAGATGTAAGAGAAGGGATCCACTGTTTAAAATTATCCTGCTCCCCCCGCTATCACTATCACCCTTTGTTTCCTAAAATCCTCTGTGCATGGCTGGCAGATTTGATGTTTAAAGTCAGTAGCTGATCCTTGACTTGAAAAGAAAGGATAAAATAGACTGCCGACTCCAGCAGAGGAGCCGCGCGCAGGGGAGGAAGCTGCTGGGTGCCTGTTCTCGCCCCAGCTCTTCCCTAGCATAGAAGCAGCCTCCTTGCAGCTTGCCCTGTCCTACCTTTGCTTTGTGTCTCTGCTCTTGGGGAATACTTTACAGTGCAGCTGACAGATTCCCTTACTTACTGTTACATAATTTAAATTCTATACAAACCTGAAAATAGCTAAAGGTGTTTTAGAGTATTTAACTTCTGCATCAACAATCGAAAAAAAAAAGAAAAAAGTGTGTTTGTTTCCCCAAAAGAAAAACTTGTTATTACATTTTTACAGTCAAAAAGATTATTTGTTTCAATTATCACCAAAAACGTTTGCATTGTCATCATGCAGTAACTCATTAACTACTCAAACCTCCTTTGCAGGCCTGAATACAATGGGATGTTTCATGTGCCTGATCTGCGTGTTGATAACACGGGTTTGCGTGTAGATCAAAAGCGCGATACAACCCGGCATTGTCAGAGCTGTCTGCCACAGCATCCAGCCAGCGCTTACTCGGAAGCCAGCACTTGGCTCGCTTCCAAAGACTTAATTCTAACAATCCACTCAAAAGAAGCTTGCAACCGAACACTTCCACCGCTGCAGTATCTGTGCAGACACCTACCTTTGCCCTCCGCCGGTTTGTTTGGCGATTTGCTCAGCTCGTTCGAGCGCCGCGCGGGCCTGCGGTTAACCTCTGCAGGCGGCCCCTGCGCGGCGGGTGCGACTACCGCAGGATGAGTGCTAGCGGGAGAGTGGTGTAACATCCACTTAGCATTCCAGAGGGGTGCAGTATAATTATGATTTAAATGCCAAAGATTTAAGTAGCAAGATGAGTAACTGAAAGGACATGAAAGCCTCCCTTATCGTTCTCTCTGTCCCACACAAATTAATTTTGCACACCCACAAAACTAATACAAGTGTCACTTGACAAAATTACACCCAATGCATGATCTGTACCATCACTTACCTTTCCGTAGGTGTGAGCTCTGTTTATACCAAATGAAGGGGGGAAAGGGGGAGTCTCATTTACAGGGCTTGAAGTTGAAAGCAATTCTGCTCCCTTAGTGGAATTACTTCATTTTCACATTGTCCCTCAGATCAGAGCCTGACCCACACTTGGGGTTTTGTCCTGTCTGCTCTTATCCTTTTGGATTGAGAGGGAGGAAAGCTTCTCACACTTTCATTTATGTGTGCTGTAGGAATGGTTTCTGAGCAGGTGTGTAATGTTAGAAATTGCTAATTAAAGTCAGAGGTGGGATCAGCTGGTTGCCTGCTATGTAGGAAAATCTGCTTTGTGTCTGTTACAGCATGCACCGTGTGCAGCAAGAAAAGCAATAGTAGGAACCTGCAGCCTGTACCTATATTGAGGCAAAGGCAAGGGGCTACTCAACCCTGGGTTAATTACAGCTCTGAAAAATTGAAGAAAAAGTAAGTTCTAGGCAAGGGAGGAGAAGTGACTAGTGGTGAAAATAAATTATAGAATTTTAAATAAAACCTTAATGGATGCAACTAGGCTGTCAGTATTAAATCCAAAAGTGAGAGGTGTGATTACAGCTCTGAAGAGAGGATATGCATGATCCTAAATTCTGGCCTCTGAAATTATCTGATGCTTAGGTCAGAATTAAAACCTATATTAAAAGCTTTGTTTCCCCCCAAGATATTCCTCTTATTTGTCTTTATAGATTACAAGAAACCTGAACTGAAGGTCTCCTATCTTCTCTTAGCTGTCAGCAGGGAATAAGAGCATCACTAACTCAGCCAGAGGTGAGACTTCGAATAAAAGCAGAGGGGTGAGACCAGGAGGGGCTCTAGGCGAGGACAAGGTTTGGTTGTAAGGTTGTGCTGGGCCAGTTCTCGTAGCTGAACTGTTTAGAGTCTTTGCAAAATTACGCACTTTGTAGAGAACGACAGTGATTCTTCAGATGCATGCGTAGCTTTGGGTATGAGTAATTTTATTGCCTGAAACAGAGCTATAGAGTGGATAATGTGAAGTATTTACTCCAAAGTGTTTGAAGAAGTGGGCCTGTTCATCTCTTTTATTGTGGATATTTGTTTCCAAGAGATATCATAAACATTTACTAGAAATAATTTCTTCTATATATGAAGAATCATTTTTATCTCTCGAGGGAAATATATGATTGGCTAAACATTTTAAATTAAGAATAGCAAATAAAAATATTATCTCAAGAATCAGGGAAATGGTTTTATGATTGTATGTTAAAATCTGTAACAACATGAAACAACGGTCTTTAGATCTTAGCAATGGTTAACATAAAAAAGAGCATGGGTCAAATTCTGCCTGTAGGTTAGCATCCATGATTCAGATTTTGATGAGGTGAAGATCACGTGAATGTCTGAAGTCACAGACATTCACTGTACTGAAGGTTGGCAGTATTTAAGATGTGGCCGCTTGGGAACTGTACACCCTGAGAACCGCTCGATGAAGAACATTCCTCCACGCTCCAAGCTCCCGGTGACTGTCAGAGGCTGCTGCGTTCGCAGGGCGATACCCGCGTCGCCCCAGTCCTCGCGGCGGCCACCGCGCGCGAGGGCAGCAGGATGTCCCGTAGCAGCGGGCGCTCCCTGCACAGGGGGTTCGGGCTGCCTGGCCACCCTGCCCCATCGCAGTCACCAGGGCACCCCGTTCCGGAGCAGAGTCAGCCCCAGCAGCTCCAGCTCGGCACATGGATCCCGAGACAATCAGATGTTGCTGACACTTGCTCCACTGCATCCACTGTAGTCTTTTACTTGCACACTTTGCAATGTTGCTGTATTGTATTTTTGGACAGCAAAGAACCTTTGGCACTTCTGAAATCTTTTTCTCATGGAGTTTGATTTTGGAGGATTTTGGAGAGGAAAACTTTTTTTTTTTTCTACAAGCAATGTATTTATCACAGGGATATTCAAGGTCTGGGATGGAATACTGGTGCCACTTAAATGACAAAATACTCATTTATATAGAATGAGAATAGGATTTCATTCCTGATATTTCACAAAGATTCCAGGCACAATTACAGGTTTATTCAGCAGAATCAGTAGCTACTCAGATTTCTGAAAAACAAGACAGTCGGGACTGCCCTAAATCCGTGACGAGTCTGCAACACAGCAGCATTTCTAGCCTCTTCTGTAATGCTTACAGCAAACTGCTTTCATCACCTTTTAAGTATGAAGCTCCAGCTGAATCACTATTACACACTGTAATAGTATCGCAAAGGAGCTTCTTGGCACCTGAAACCTACGCTGGGTTTCAGCACTATTGTAGTGGTTTTATCGTGTTTTCTGTTCACAGATTTCAAGGTATTTGCAAAGACAGAACCCGCATTGTTGCGGCACTTCTACAGACACAGGGATGCTCAGTAAGAGTTTCAGTGACTTGCCCAATGTCTAATTGCAAAATAGCAGTGAGACAAAATCCAGGCATCCTGGCTCCAGGACTGTGATTCAACAAAGCACTAAGTCAAGGGCTTAATTTTGAGCAAGAGTTTCAGCTGTTTGAATGGACACAGATTTAAGTATCAGTGTCAGCTCTCCACAGCTAATTTTTATTTACAGCTATTTAAATTTTTCTCCTATAACTCAGCAGATTTTTATATCGATGTTGGAAATTTTAGATAGATGTTTTCAAAACTAACTCAATTGTGGGAAAAATGTGCTGCCTGCTGGCTTTAGCAACCCAGTGGTCATGCACATGTTTGGGGTTTTGTGTTTTTTATTCAGATGACACCAGTTACTCGACAAGAAGTTCTTGGCCTTTACCGCAAGATATTCCGAATAGCCAAAAACTGGCAATCTGCATCTGGACAGATAGAAGAAACTATTAAAGAGAAACAGTACATTAGAAGTGAAGCCAGAACGTTATTCCAAAAAAACAAAAATGTACGTGGGTTTCCTTGTGCCTGTAATTTTCTGGATGATTTTCTCCTTGTGCTTTGTATTCTCTCAGTGTTTGGATATTAAGATATTGAGTTGATTTCCTCTATTTTCATTCAACTTAAAACTAGTACAAACATATTACAAGGTGCATTTAGCTTATAGTTTAAATTTCACCCAAAACTGATAATAATAAAAACCGTTTCAGATCTTCATTAACTACTTTTGAAGACTAGAAGGTCTGGGCTTTCATTAAAAAATGTTAAGAAAAAGCTTAACTCCAAAGATACGGCCTGTGAAGTTGTTTGAAGCAGCTTTTGATGTTTTAGAAAGCTAGTTAAGTATATCATTACCCATGCAAGCAGGACTCAGTAGCTTCTTTCTTTTCTTTTCAAAGCAAAAATTATTGGTACTTCTTTTAAAAAAGGGATGCCTTTATTTATTTAGTTATTTTAAGATACATGCACATCTTGATATTCCAAACTTCTTTCAAGAGGAACAAATATAGACTCCATGGTAGTCAAGATTTGTTTTTTAACTACCACAATATTTATTTACATCCTATTTTGATATAGGACAAAATTAATCTAATGCAAGATTCACCATAAAGTGAATTTAAGACCAAATTTACACATTTCTGACTAATGGACATTTTCTACATGGAAGGTAGTCTAAAAAGTCTCTTCTCTTTTTCCCCTAAGCTACCTTGCAATATGATGAATAGGTCAGTGTTGTTTTTCATGGAGATATTGGTAATTTACATGTGTACTTTCTTTTTACCAAGAAAATACCATATTTGGTAAAAACCTCCTTTCAGAACCTCAGCTCTTACATATTATGGGCCCATATAATACCCAATGCCATCAAGCCCAGAACTGTTGAGTCAAGGCAAGTGCTAATGTTACCTTTTATGGATGTGAAAAATGCAGTCACTGTATGCCTGGGATTGCCAAAAAAACAAGCAAAAAGGTCACGTGGCTGTGCAACACTTACACTTGAGCTTCTAATTGCTAATTGCTGCATTTTCTCTTTTTACAGTTGTTTTAACTCTGTATTATCTTAGGTAACAGATGCAGAAATGATTAAACAATGTATAGAAGAATGTGAGGCAAGAATAGAAATCGGACTTCACTATAACATCCCCTACCCAAGACCTGTGAGTATAAATCTAGTCACAACTCTTCAACTGTACCTACTTAGCTCTCACTGCACAATAAAATCATAAGTTCATATTACTGTCACTGAACTACATTTTTAGATAAGTTTGTAATTAAGTGCTGTGGTAAATCAGATGAGCCAAGGTAAACTGAAATAGTCTCCATCTGTGAGTTGGCTACTTCTCAAATTGGGAATCAAAGCTGCAGTGTGGGGACATGAGGTAATGTCTCAGGGACTGCAAATATTTAGGTAGTCTTGACTGAGCAATGAGTTGTCATGTGTAGAAAAAGATGGTAATGGAACCAAATGGAATCAAATCTGTTAATATTCCCACAAGAGGAAATAAGGATATTTATTTAATTATATTATGTTTGTGATGGATAGAATTATTTTCACAGTCTTGAAAGTTTTCCTGTAATAAACTGCATTGTAAGGTGCTTGTCTATCTACTTGCTTCTGTGCACGTGTTCCTAGCAAAAAGCCTGCCAAATATTACTGAAATTTCTGGAAGTATTAGTCATGTCTTATACTGCACTATCCAATATACTTTCTTTACTGCCCTGTCATTTGTGTCTGTATTACTTTCTGTTGCCTCCCACAGAGATTTTCTCTCTCTGCTTGCTGATTGTTTTACAGTCACTTCTATACACTTTCTCTCTCTGCTGATTGTTTTACAGTCACTTCTATAGTTTATCAAGCAGGTCATGCTCATAATTAATTTGCATCTTCATCTTTATTTATAAGATGCGTGCTGAGGATACAGTCACTGTTGGCTTCTGTTTCACATATACCTTGTTCTTCTCCATGCACAAAATAACAATGCACGTGTGGCAAGTAATGCTCCTGGGAATGGGTTTAAAATGTCTTCCATGGTGGTTTAAAATCCCAAAAGATCAGAGTTCTCTTGCATAAACTAGATCCTTACTTTCCAGATTTTACCATATCTGTGATGCTTTAATCAGTGCTTTTATTACTATTTGCAGCTAAACAGCTATCTTAAAGGGTAATAATTTCAATTTTTCTTAATCTTCAATCACTTATGGGGAGGTTTAGCTGTATGACTCCCACTAAGTCTTAGGAAGCACAAAGACTTTGTCAATCCAAGCAAAAGCTTCTACCTATTGCTCCTTATGCTCGAGGAGTCAGTGCCATTGAGTGCGCATCTTAACTGGTCTCTGTAAGCCTGACAATAGGGCGGCAGCCTTTGGATACGAACACAACCTGGAGTTATTTTGGGGCCTGGTAGCAAGGTATGGATAAAGCACAGACTCCTTAAATTTTGGGACTTATACACAGGAATTTATATCCCAGTGTTTTCTGGGTCTTTCAAAGGCCTTGTTCTGGAGTGCCATATGCAGTACTATTTCAGTTCTTCAGCATTGCCATCCAACATCAAACTACAAAACAAAGTTACTAAAGCTCAAAATTTACAGAATTTAAATGATTGTCAGTATATTTTACACATGAAATACATCATTTTGGGCCTGAAAGTTAAATCACTCATCATTCTCAGACAGCTATTTTAGAAATAAAAGAAAAAAGAAATGGTTTGGGACAGTTCGGTTATCCTTTATCAAGTTAAGGCTGAATGAAACCTACTCTTTATATGGCTTCTTTTTCTTGTAGCTTCTCAATGTGTAACTAACTGGTGGGATTCTGTTTTCTAGATTCATCTGCCTCCTATGGGTCTTGCCTCTAAACAAGGCCGTGCATTTCGACACCAGGAAAAGCTGAGGAAGTTTTCTAAGCCAATATACCTGAAATCCCATGATGATATTTCATAACCCATCAGCTAAGCTGTGATGCGTTTGGACTCTAATCCTGCAGCTTTTTTTTGTACAACTGTGAATGAAGCTGTTTTGGTCATATAGTCACACATTTCCTGCGGTCACTAAATACAATGCGTATGATGGATAAGGTTGGTTTAGTATTTATTACAATTCAACCACTGATTCATCAGTAAAGTTTTCAAGGAGGGAGGTGTGATGTGAAGATCGTTGTATTTTTTCCTAATATTAATCTAAAACACTGCTGATCCCTGATAGCAGAGAATGAACACTATTATGCTCAACTGCAATTCAAGGTAGTGCCTTATATAAGGGTCAGCAAAAAGCAAAATGTCCAGGAGAACCAAGCGGACCCAGTGTCTCCAGAACCTCCAACTGAAAGTATGAATTTCTTTCCTTTGAAAAGGGTGTGGGTGTTGAAAGATAAAGTTTGGAATTCCATTACACAACTAAGACTAAAACAATAGTGTTGGGCTCCTCGCATTCTCATGAATGGATCAAGGGAAAACTTTTTCCCAGCTGGATACCAACAAGGAATAAGTTTAAGGTGTTGTAGAGAAGCTTTGGCTTTACCAGGTTATCTACTGCACCTCTTTAGGAATGGTGGTGGAGCCTTCTGTCCTTCACACTAGAAGTACCAGTGAGACCAAGTTATGGACAAGGGTCGTGCTATCCTGGGAGACTACATAAGCACAGCCCAGAACTGCTTTAAGGCCCAAGGCACAGGCAGAGACCTACTCTATCCTGCAGCTAATAATGGGAGTGGGGGGGAAAAAAAGCTAATTAAAATGGGCAAAACCAACAAAATCTCATTTTCCAAAATCTCGCACTCATCAGTAAAAGGCAAAGAAATATCCTTGTCTATCATAAAAAAAAAGGAAAAAATAAAACTGATGGTATGAAAGAGCATAACAGTTCCTCCATCCAGAATGTACTTTTAAAAGAGATACAAGCCAATGAATGAGAAAGTAAAAGGAAACGATCAGAAGTGCTAGTCAGCATGGCAGGTACCGGCTAGCCCAATTTCTGACTACCCTCTGGCTTCAGTCCACAAAGGAATCTATTCCCATGTAATTATCTCCTAGGAATGTGGCATGTGGAAAATGTCATTGTTCTGCTTCTCACTGAAGTTCTACAAACTTACTGGTGACAGAAAACGCCATCTAAACACAGCCTTTTCCTATCCTCATTCTGACACACCAGTGTGGAGATACTTCAACTGAGCCAAACCAACACAGAATCATAGAACATTAAGGTTGGAAAGGACCTCTAGAGATCGTCTAGTCCAACCCCCCTGCACACGCAGGGTCACCTACAGCACGTGGCACAGGACTGCATCCAAGCGGGTTACATGTGTAAAAACACTTTTTAATGTAAGTTTAGACTCAGTCTTTGTTATGAAGCTATGCCTTGAAACTTTTAATTCGTAAAATTCATGTGTCTAATTAAGGTAGCGATCCTGTAACTCACACAGTAAATGAACAGTTTAAATATACTGTCTGTATTATAGTCAAAACTCATTATGGAGCACATAACTGTATGCTGTTGATAATTTCAAAAACATGGCCATAAAGGCACAGAATATTTACAGCAACTTGAAAATAACACTATGGGATTGAGTTGATTTCAATACACAGTTTGTAAAAGTAGTCTAAAGTAATTTAGATCAGTTCCTAACTTGATTAACTGAAGTCCACTGACCTGAACTGCAACAGGAGCACCATATTATTAGAGATATTTTTAAATGCTTATTGGCCCATTAATTTTTCAAAGTAAGTGCTTGAGAAATTATGGATTAACTAATGCCAGATCCTCTTCACTCTCTAGCACAGGAAGGTCAAGACTGAAATCTGTTACAACCCCAGGCTACGCAACTGAATGAAGGATGTATAATAAATAAAGTTTTATTGTCAAATCTGTAGGGCAAACTTTTCCTTCACAGCCTAAGTTAAACTTTGTATGGAAGGGAGAAGCTACCTCAAAAAGTATCCTTTGCTTTTGGAGATCCGACTGCTAAACCACCATGTTGAGGGAGCAGATGTCTTGCTGGTATTCATATTAAACACCAAACTCAATAGCCCCCTAGTAAAATACAACACCAATTTCTTTGACAAAGTATCTGGAAGATACCACAACATCTCATTTCTGCATGTTAATTTTATTTGCAAAAAGATGCTGCCCTGAAATGCCTCTAAGTTCCTGAGAGTTTGCAATGCACTGAGTTTAGCTTGTCAGTGCACAGTGTCCTGTCATCATTAACTTCCTTACTCCCCTCCCAATAAACCCTGTCTCCTTCCACTTCACCATGCTAGTCAGGAGATTAGCCAAACATTATAAGTTACAGGAACTCATGAGAGGAGGAATTTGGGTCTTTGCATTGTCTTTTTGCCTTTTCATAGTATAATTGTCTCCTTTAGCAGCCCCACAGTGTCCAGATCAACATGCACTTTTTGTTTCCAAAATGGCTTTTTTTGTATGGATAAAAAGGACACTTCCAGCTCCACAGAAAATGTTCCAACTCTACTTGTCTTTCAGTATCACTAGCTGAAAATCTCTCTGTCATGTATAAAGGCACAAGTATTTGTCACTCGCCAATATTTGTGTACTGATTTTTTTTTTCTTTTTCCTCCTTATCAGCTTTGAGTGACTAGTGAGACTGGGCATTTATCCTCAGCAGTAATTACAGATCTTTTTTGTAGTTTATTTAGTGTGAATTTATGACTAGATAAGAAACAGAAACACTAAGCCTGTAAAATTAAGAATTCTACTACTACTACTACAAACTTGATTTGTTCGCAAATTTTTCACATGAAATAAGTTGGTCTAAATAACAGCTGAGCTGTCTTTTTTTTTTCTTCCCTTTTTCCCTCTTAACTGTATCTCATCCAACAAAGCTGCTCAGCCAGTTTATCATATTTCAGAAAGGCCTAGATAAAACTCAGCAAATAAGGTCGGGAAGCTCACTTCAAAAAAGATCACAAAAACATACCTCTAAGATATTTCTCAACAGCAAATGTCATTTTTTTTTTTCTCTCTCTAATAGGAAAAGCAGCTCAGGAAATCACATATTACTTCAAGACTTCAATAACCGTGAAATAAAGCAACTCAGCCATACCTCATCTCTGCTCCAGGGGACATAGCAACTGATGGATGCAGGAACCTTCCTTTAAAGTCTCTTCCCATATCTAAATCCTTCAGTCACGTCTACAAAAGCTTGAAATAAATCTTTATGTTCTAATAGAAGCCTTCATCTCAAGTCTAAGTATCAACATAGAAGAATTTAGAAAATTATGACAACAGGGATATTGCACACAATGGAGCAAAGACACTGTATATTCAGAAGAAAAGGAGCCACAATAACTGTGCCACTCATTAAATTACCCATTAGTGTTTGTTCGTAAAAATACATTAATCAGAAACCCACATGGCAAGTATTTTCCAATGGTTTGGAAGTATTTATCTCCACAGAACGTAATTTAGCTAACACATACTAGTGAATCTGTTTTTAATTTATAATGGCTTAATATATCTGGAGGAGTTTATTCACAACACTGGCATTATCCGAAGGAGGTTGAAGAAACTCAGTAACGCCAGTTTCTTAGTATAATGTTTTAAGAACTTCTGCAGTTGCCCTGGTTTCCTTTCAGAGCCTCAGTGCAGGGTTTTATCATGGCAGCATCACTTAAAAGCCCAAGTTCAAGCCCAGGGAGAAGGGTGCTTCAGAGAGCAGCGACTGAATGGAGCCATCCATAGGGATGGAGCTAACACACAGGTCCAGCCTCCCCGGGTCTGAGCCTCAGCACCACGAGTGTTGTGAGGAAAGGAGCTGGAAAAGGCGTCTGCCGACTGCTCCATTCTCCCTGATATTGCAGTGGCCTGATTAGTGATCTGAATTGCTCATGGGATTTTGCTTGCCATGCATATCATCATAACAGACAGGAATTTAAAAAAGACAGTTATTACAATCTGTTTCTTTAAACAGATGCACTAAACTTCAGTTAATTTTAATGATATGAAAAGTAGAAAACATTTGTGAAAACAAAATTATTAATTATTGTCACTATGAAGATAAAAAGAAAACTGTTTTTAAAAGACTAATTTTAACTTTAATTTACTTAGATCTTCAGAAATATTCCCTTTTCATAAAAATCTTGTCAATTTGGATGATCATGCTGTAACATTCATATACAACAACATTTATTTTTGCTGCATGTGTTGCATATAATACCATCTGAATTGTTAAGACTAGTTTGTCTCTGCCAGTAAGCTGAAATGCCTGCACACCTCTACCACCTTTATTAAAGCAAATGTGCATTAAGACTCCTGACCTGTTGTCTTCGCACTGGTAAAGAGGAAACAATAATAATGCACGAAATGCTAACTTACTGCTTAAGATGCATCAAAATTGTTAGATAAATATACTGTCCCAATTATCTATGTAAATTTTATGCAGAGCACCACTGCACAATGTACCCATAACACTGCTTACTTACCTGTATATGTTACTGTTCTTAAAGCTGCTGTTTTATAGATATCTACATAAAACATAAACACCAGTCATTAGTAAAACAATAATGAACACTGCTTTCTCTTATAATAGCTAAACACAACACAACAGATAAGTTCCTGTGATAAAATCTGCCTCGTTTAATTAGCTGTATCAGCATATTGTAGCATCATTGTAGCTCTATCTCAATCATTGTAGCATAATATTGGGAACTGCTGCATTATGGCTGTATCTTGGACTTTCTGCGATCCCAAGCAAGTCATTAGGATGCTGCAATCTGGGCAATGAAAAGAATGAAGAGACCCCAATTTAGTGTGTGTTCGTGCATTTTGTATTTTTTATTTTTTAATTTCCTTGATCTTTGTGCTTCTCGCGTACTGTGTATAAAACAAGTCTAATGATCCATCATCAGTACCTCCTTGGCATGCTGTAGGGATTAGTTAATGACTGCACAGGTCTTTGAAGATGTTCAGGGCTATTTTATTTTTAATTACTGCTTGCCACTTACTTTGAGCTCCTCTGATGAAAGGGCTTAAAACAAGTGCAAAATATCAGGTGATTATTAGTCCAACATGCAAGAGGGCAAGA